AGAGAAAGCTAAATTCAAAATTGCCAAGAAAGTAAGCATTTTCCCAGGCAACAGAGAAACAATAATTAGAATTTCAATGTTTCTGTAGAACCAGCATTTTCTTAAAACTTTTTTTTTAAGGTAATACAATTAAAACATCTCATTTACACTAAATCCACATATTTAGTTTTGGTAAAGTTAGAACCCTTCATTTCAACTCCATTGCTTTGTTTTTAGTTACAGTCTAATACATGAAAGTTAAAGTGTTTTGACTTTTGTATTACATTACAACATAAAATACAATAAATATGAAAACAATTGCACAGCCTGACTGTATTAAAAATCTTATTTTAATGCATGGTGGAAACATGAATTCAAAACACTGGAATTTCCTGAAAAATAGAGAGTTTAAATTTCAATGAACAATCAATGGATTCTACTCTAGAGAATTGCTTCCATCTGCTTGATGGAATATTACACAGTTGCTCTGCATTGTCCAAATCTGGGAAAGACTGCCTTAAAGCAGGAGATTATACAGAATTATTGCCACATTTACATCTGCTGGATTAATTCCTAGGTACGAAGAATTAGAAAATGATGGACAAGAAAGTGAAGGTTAGCTCCTGGGCCTTGTCTGACAGACCAACACTTGTGACTATGTGTATCAAACAAGATCCACAAAATGATCACATCAGCAGTAGAAATAAAAAAATCACATATTGAGAAACTTGCATAAAAGTGTCCTGACTCATTGCCTTGAAACAACCTGGGGGGGCACATTTCCTTATATTTCCTCTCTCACGGAGCTCCGACAGAGGTAGGTTCCTCGAAGTTCATGCCATGGGTCTCAAAACCACCAGAATGCTCTTGAAAAAGGGGGGAAAAAGCATTTATTTTCAAGTTAATACCTGTTTAGTGCACTTAAAAATCCCATTTCAGACAATTCAGGCACAACTCACATCTTCGCTGTTGAGATAGCAGGTGGTTTTAAAGTCTATACTTCTTTTTAGCTTAACCGCTTTAACTAGTCCTGAAGTTCAGGTCCTCTGAGATAAAAGTTTGCAATGTGCTAGCACAATCCCTCGGGCCTTGAGTCACAGGGCTTTGACTCAGGGAGAGAACGCATCCTCCTTATCTGCTTGAGGAAATGAGTGGTTTGGCCCCTATGAAGCAGATTTTGAGAAAGTGCCAGGTGCAATAAACAAAGAGCTTGCAATTCCCCATTAGCTCCCAAAGCTTATTGAGGCTTTGTCCTACGCCTTGCGACTCTGACTTCACAGGCTTGAAGGAATACTTGGCAATGATGCTTCTTTTATGCATGCTAAAAATTGACTGACCACCATGGTGGAACATACATTTTCATCCAGCTTTGAAAAACTATCATGAAACTCTGCGAGACGCATTAGAAAACATTGGCAAAATAATGGTTGATCACAATGGGAAAAAAAAAAATCAGTATCTTTTCTATTCTACACAAAAAAAATCTTGGCCTCCACCACGTCGGTAATTTCACCACCCTGTAGTACTCCCGGCTGCTGTGAAGGAATACAGCATGCTAACGGACTGGTTTGCAATGTAGTTGTGTATTAAGCTTAAAGCATTTTTTATGGCAACCTAGATGCTCTTGAAAAGGGGGGAAAAAGCATTTATTTTCAATTTAATACCTGTTTAGTGTATTTAGATTGGGTATTTTTTCCAATTATACAAAGTTTGATGGGCACTGTTAGTCTTGCAACAAAAAAGCATAAATATACTGTCTTGGCACCACAACATTGTTTTAATACAATAGCAAGCCTTATCTTTCTCTAGCACTACTACGGACTTTTATCAAACTTCTAAATACTCTCTGGAATATTAAATGTACAAAGTTCAGATCAAAAAGGTTTTTTAAACGACAAAACTGGATGCGGGGTTTGTGGAGCCCGTTTTCCTCCCCCTCCCTGCTGCTCTACATGAGTCAGAGCAAGGGAGAATTCCCACGTCCAGTGAACAGTGCCCATTCTGTTATATCTTCTATTGAGGCCACAGAATAAAAACACAAATGGATCCACTTTTCACGAGAGGTCAATTGCAGTAACTGTATCTTTATTAAAGGAGGTTACACAG